CTCTGTGAGTTCGAGGCCAGCCTGGTCTCCAGAGCGAGTGCCAGGACAGGCTCCAAAGCTACACAGAGAAACCCTGTCTCGATAAACAAAAAAAAAACAAAAAAACAAAACAAAACAAAAAAAACAACAACAACAAAAAACAAAAAAACTTAAAAGGAAAAAGCAAACAAATACCCAAACAAAAATTACCTAGCCAAGCAAGATACCATTTTGTACTAGTAAAAAAAAAAAGCAAATGACCCCACATAATGGCACATGCTTATAATCCTACTACTTGGGAAGTAGATTAAAGACAATGATTTCAAGTATTGACTAACATAACAAGTTTGAAGATAGCCTGGGCTATACAAGACCTTACTTCTTTTTTCTTAAATGACAAAAACTTAGTAAATAACTAGATATAACAGTACATGCTTATAATCAGTTTGTAATCCTATCATGGAAAGGCTAAGGTAAGAAGATCAGGAGGTTTGGGCCAGCCTGGGTTAAATGGTTTACTGGATACTATTATGTCAACCTGACATAAGCTAAAGTCATCTTTGAGGAGGGAACCTCAGTTAAGAAAATGCTTCCTGCCAGGAGGTGGTGGTACACTGTCTTTAATCCCAGTGCTTGGGAGGCAGAGGTAGGTAGATTTCTTCAAGGCCATCCTGGTCTATTGAGGAAATTTCCTGGACAGTCAGGGCTACACAGGGAAACCCTATCTCAAATAAATAAATAAATAAATAAATAAATAAATAAATAAATAAATAAATAAATAAATAAATAAATAAATAAATAAATAAATAAATAAATAAATAAATAAATAAATAAATAAATAAATAAATAAATAAATAAATAAATAAATAAATAAATAAATAAATAAATAAATAAATAAAATAAAAACAAAGATAAAAAATAAAAAAGAAAGAAAGAAAACGCTTCCCTAGGATTTGGCTATAGGCAAGCCTTTAGAGCATTTTCTTTCTTTCCTTCCTTCCTTCTCTCTCTCTCTATTTTTTTTTTTTGAGACAGAGTCTCTCTGTGTAGCTTTGGCATCTGTCCTGGAACTCACTCTGATCTGCCTGTCTATGCCTCCTGAGTGCTGGGATTAAAGGCATGCTCTACTACCACCAGGCCTAGAGATTTTATTAGTTATTGATGGGTGAGGGCCCAGCCCACTGTGGGTGGTGCCATCCTTGGGCTGGTGGTCCTGGGTTCTTTAAGAAAGCAGGCTGAGCAAGCTAGTAAGCAGCACCCCACCATGGCCCCTACATCAGCTCCTGCCTCCAAGTTCCTGCCCTGTTTGAGATCCTGACCTGGCTTCCTTAAATGATAAACTACAATGCAGAAGTGTAAGGCAAATAAGCCCTTTCTCTGGAACTTGCTTTTAGATGTGGCATTTCGTTTTAATTTAAATTTTTATTATTATGTATGTTGCATGCATGTGGGCATGTGCTATGGCACATGTTGGCGATCACAACTCTTGGGAGTTAACTCTCTAATTTTCACTGTGGGCTCAAACTCAGGACTTCACACTTGATCTTAGCCAAAAGGCCGAGAAGTGATGATGAGGACTTCACAAAAAGCACTTGTGTCTACTGAATTGGCTGGCTGATATCCTTTGTAATTGAGTACCAGCACTGAAGGGGTAATGAGGGAGGAAAACCAAAAAGCATAGTAAATAGGAATCATATGCAGGTACCTTTGGCTGTTGTTGAGTTTCTCCTGTTGCCTCCTGGCAGAAGGGATGAAAACCTATTGACACAGTAGCCACTCTTGGTGTAGGCACTGGTTGAACCCTGTGGGGAGAAAGCTACCATTCTCATTAGGCATTCACGGGTATTCTTGACTCTTGCTTCTTTATCCTACAGGATTGTCATTAGGCAAAAACTCTTCCAACAGGAAAGCACTTTGATGCCAACTCCAGGCACAGCTATGGAACAGATGAAAACGGGAGGCAAACATCCCTTTTACCACAGACTAGGCTTGCTGGTATTAGAGGCAAGAAGCAGTTACTCACCCTGGAGGCTACGATAAGGGCTCGTTTCCCAACAGGACACACAACCACAATCCATTCTTGCCCCAAATCTGAAGGGACGTCAATTAACCACTCAGAAAGCATCAACTGGGAACAAAAAATGGTGTTAGAAGATCAGCAGGAGTGTATCATTCAAACATTACCCTATCCACTAATATGTATATATACTTATTACATATGGAGTATATATATATATATATATATATATATATATATATATATATATCAAATACAGCTAAAAGTTGAGGGCAAAGGTACTTCCACCCCAGGTGCTCTAAGGAAGCAAGCTAGTCTCCAGCATAGCTAACAGATGGAAGGCATTCACTGGTGACCTGCTCTTATTACCACCATCTCCATCCTACTTACTCCCTTACCTCAAGGCCTACAGGGGCTCTTTTTTTCCTTTCCTTGTTGCCTACTAACTACCAACATAACTATTATATGCTGGGTTTACACCTCAGGAATGAATACTCACCCTGAGTCATGCTCAGACTTGACCATCATTTCCCAAATTGACATGCCACACGTTGTGATAAAGATTTTAGGAGGCAGGCCTGGTGGTAAAGCATATAATCTCAGCTACTTGGAAGCTCACGTGGGAGGACTGCCTGAACAACTTAATGAGATGCTGTTTCAAGGGGTTTTTTTTTGGGGGGGGGCGGGTTCAAGACAGGGTTTCTCTGTACCTTTGGAGCCTATCATGCAACTCTATAGATCAGGCTGGCCTCAAACTCACAGAGATCCATCTGCCTCTGCCTCCAGAGTGCTGGTATTAAAGGCCTGTGACAACATGGACCAGCTGTTTCAAGTTGTTTTTTTGTTTTTTTGTTTTTTTTAAATAATTTATTTTAACTTTATTTTATGTGCATTGGTGTGAAGGTGTCAGATCCTGGGGAACTGAAGTTACAGACAGTTATGAGCTGCCATGTGGGTGCTGAAAATTGAACTCAGGTCCTTTAGAAGTGCAGCCAGTGCTCTTAACCACTGAGCCATGTCTCAGTCCCCTGTTTCAAATTTTTAAGGCTGGCTTTAACCCACTATGTACATGAAAATGACTCTCTAAACTTACGATCTTCCTGGCTCCACCTCCTGAATGTTCAAATTGCAAGCCTGAACTGGTGGTGGTGGTGGTGGTGGTGGTGGTGGTGGTGGCGGCGGCTCACACCTTTAATCCCCACACTCAGGAAGCAGAGGCAGGTGGATCTCTGATCTACAGAGCTAGTTCCAGGACAGTCAGGGATACAGAGAAACTCAATCTGGGGGAGGAAGGAGAATTCCAGCATATTACATGCATGTGGTACATAGAAACTCATGTAGGCATAGACATAGCCACATTTAAAAAAATAATTCAAACATGATTGCCAATATTTGCCCTAAGATTATTGATCCATAAAAAGCATTTTAATTGCAAGAAGGATGAGTGAAGAGAAAAGGGTCCAGACCAGGTTGGTGAAACCCACAGAAACAGCTGACCTTGCTCCCCAGACTGATAGTTGGGATATCAGCATGGGACTGATCCAGACCCCAGGAACAGGGGGTTTTAGTGAGGAAACCTCAGAAATCTCCAGGACCTCCTGTAGTAGTTCAGTACTTATCCCTAGCATAGGTGTGGACTTTGGAAGCCCATTCCACATAGAGAAATACTCCCTGAGCCAAGACACACGGGGGTGGGCCTAGGCCCTATCCCAAAGGATATGATAGACTCTGATGACACCCTATGGAAGGCCTCACCATCCAGGGGGAGCAGAAAGGATATGTGATAGGTAGGGTTTTAGTTGGGGGGTGGGGTGGTAAGGGAGGACAGGAGGGAGAAGGGAACTGGGATTGTCAAAACAATCTTGTTTCTAATTCAAATTTTAAAAATCTGCAGAAAAAACAAAAACAAAACACTAAAAAAAAGAAAGAAAGAAAGAAAGAAAGAAAGAAAGAAAGAAAAAGAAAGCATTTTAAAGGCCAGGTATATAATCCCAGCACTCGGGAGGCAGAGGCAGGTGGATCTCTGTGAGTTCAAGACCAGCCTGGTCTACAAGAGCTAGTTCCAGGACAGCCTCCAAAGCCACAGAGAAACCCTGTCTCAAAAAAAAAAAAAAAAAAAAAAAAAAAAAAAAAAAAAAAAAAGCCAGGTATAGTGACTGATGCCTTTAATCCCAACACTGGGGAGGCAGAGGCAGAATGATCTCTAATGTGAAAGTCCTTCTGTGTATATGTTTCTCTTATTGGTTGATGAATAAAACACTGTTGGTCAATAAGGCAGGAAGATAATAAGGGAAAGAATTCTGGGAAAGGTAGGCAGAGGGAGCCCACAAGAGTCGCCATGTAAGCACCAGAAAGAAAGGATGCACCAGGAGTTCGCTGGTAAGATAAGACCAAGTGGAAATACATAGATTAATAGAAATGGTATGATAATTAAGACAGAGCTAGCCAATAAGAAGCCCTAGCCTCCAGGCAACAGTTTTGTAATTAATACAGTGTTCCTATATTATTTGGGGCTAAAGCAGCAGCGGAACCAGGCTGGAAGGAATCTTCAGCAATAGATCTCTGAGTTTGAGGCCAGCCTGGTCTATAGAGTGAGTTCCAGGACAGCCAGAGATATACACAAAGAAACCCTGTTTCAAAAAACAAACAAAAAAGGTATTTTCACATATGAATGTTAACAATAAATCAGACTACTGCCTAGGTGTATATCTTGGATATGACCCTATTTTGAATATATCTCACAAATAAAACTATTAGGTTTTATTTACAGTGACAATATCCTAACTTCTTGTATCCCTGTGATCTACAGTTCTGTTTACAAAGTGTAATCCTGTTCCATATGCCTTAGGAATTACCCTGTGATCGCATTTAAATTTCCAAGCAACTTTTTTTTTTAACTCTATTTTGGGTATATGGGCATTTATCTGCATGTATGTCTGTACTCCACATGCATGCCTGGTGCTCAAGGAGGCCAGAAAAGGGTATCAGATCCCTCAGACTGAAGTTACAAACTGTTGTGAACCATCATATATATGCTAGGAATTGAATTCAGGTCCTCTGGAAGAGCAGCTAGTGCTCTTAAAAACTAAGCCATTTCTCCAGGTCCTCCTAGCAATTTTTAAAGACAACAACAAAATACTATTCTGGCTATCATAAAGGAAATGAAGAGCACCTCTGTTTTGAGCAGTCCATATATAGATTCTTGGTATACTGTACCCTTTCCTTTAGTTCCCTCTCTTTCTGTTAACTCCTACAAGGACATCCATGTTAAAAATATCTTTAATGAGGGCTGCAGAGATGGCTCAACAGTTAGGAATACTTGTTGCTCTTGCAGAGCACTCAGGTTCAGTTTCCGCACCCATACAGTGGCTCATAATAAGCCCAAACTCCAGTTTCAGGGAATCTGACACCCTCTTTTGACCTCCACAGGCACCAAGCATACATGTGGTACACATACATTCATGTAAGCAAAATACTGGTGCACATAAAATAAAATAAATAATAAAATAGTAAAAAATCAGGTAGCTTTATAAACACACAAGACAATACTCTGGGTTAGCAAGATAATTCAGTGGGGCTAGGCCTGATAACCTGAGTTCAATATCAGCAAATCACATGGTAGAGGGTTAGAACTGACTCCCATGGGTTTTCCTTTGATTTCACACACATCCCATGGCAGATGCATCCTCACACACTTCTTATTTAAAGTTTCTATTGCTGTGATAAAATACTTTGACCAACAGCAACTTGGGAGAAAAGTGTTTATTTCACTTGCAATTCCATTACGTCAGAGCAGGAACCCAAAGCACAGCAAGAACCTGGAGGCAGAAACTGATGCAGAGGCCATGGAGGAGTGTTGCTCTTCAGGGCTTGCTCAGCTGCTTTCAGTTATTTTTCTTTTTCCTTTTTTCCTTCCTTCCTTCCTTCCTTCCTTCCTTCCTTCCTTCCTTCCTTCCTTCCTTCCTTCCTTCCTTCCTTGCTTCCTTTTTTAAGACAGGGTTTCTCTGTAGCTTTGGAGGCTGTCCTAGAACTTGTTCTGTAGACCAGGCTGTTCTTGAACTCACAGAGATCTGCCTGTCTCTGCCTCCTGAATGCTGGTATTAAAGACGTGTATAACTAGCTTTGAGGATCTGCCTTCCTCTGCTTCCCAAATACTGGGATCAAATGAGCGCACTATGTATCTGTCTGCTTTCCTGGTTTTAAATGGAAGCTTCTCTTTCCCTTTAAGGCCCTGTCATGCAGCTTCTGATATGACAGACTGTCTTTTTGATGCTTTACAACCTCAAGGTCCAGTCATGGCCCCCAGAGTCTCTGGTTTCTGTTTGTTAATAAAGCTTATTTCTGAAGGGTCTCAGTTTCTTCTACCAAATCCGATGTTCTTCATTTTTCACTAACACCTACAATATCAACCGGCCAGGCACAATGTGACTATTTTTGCACTAGCAGCATGACTGTTATGGGAGTAATCAACCTGATCAGATTTGAGATATGATTTACAGGAGGTAATCTAAGCATGGTAATATAAACCTTGGTCAGGCTGGAGGGATGGCTCAGAGGTTAAGAGCACCAGCTGCTCTTCCAGAGGTCCTGAGTTCAATTCCCAGCAACCACATGGTGGCTCACAACCATCCGTTATGAGATCTGGTGCCCTCTTCTGGTGTGCAGATATACATGAAAGCAGAATGTTGTATACATAATAAATAAATAACCCCCCCTCCCCCCGAGACAGGGTTTCTCTGTGTAGCCTATCCTGTGTTCCTGTGTAGGTTTCTCTTTGAGCCTATCCTGACACTCACTCTGGAGACCAGGCTGGCCCCGAACTCACAGAGATCTGCATGCCTCTGCCTCCCCAGTGCTGGGATTAAAGGCATGCGCCACCAATGCCCGGCTTAAATAAAATCTTTAAAAAAAATAAAATAAACGTTGGTCAAAGACAAATGGCTAAAGAACTAATAGGCTCTAGGGGAGGGACTTACTACCCCTTTTTTGTTTTGTTTTGTTTTGCTAAACTAACATAATGTTAAACTATCTTCTAACTATCAGCATTTATACAAACAGACAAACACTACTTTCAGTTTTTTGGATTTTTTTTTTTCAAGAGAGGGTTTCTCTCTGTAGCTCTGGCTGTCCTGCAACTAGCTATGTAAACCAGGCTGGCCTTGAACTCACAGAGATCTGTCTGTCTCTGCCTCCCAAGTGCTGGGATTAAAGGTATGTACCACTACCACTGGTAACTACTTTTCATCTTAATCAGAGAAGCCTCTCTTTGGAGTGAATAATGGTTGGCTTTTTAAGATGCTGAAAACAAGTGATAGCTGAATGTTCAGTCCTAAAACAGACATTTATACCTCCCCTCTAAGGCTTAGGGAAGAGCAAACAGAAAGAATGGGAGAAAAGATATGGAGAAGGGCTATGAAATGCTATCATGTTATGGGCATGATATAACCATTGCAATCATGAACTCAAAGCAGATGCAGTTCCTTGCACTGGGCCTACAAAAGACTGGCCTTGTCAACAAGGCTGAACTAGAAGATATGGATAGATTCTAAGAGGAGGAAATCAATGTCTTCAGATACGTAGCCACTAGTGTGCCCATCAGGATCTAATGCATAGTTTCAAATCTAGACACAGGGATGACCCTGGTTAAATGCAGCAGGTCACAAAACAAAAAGACAAAATTTGTATAGAGGAGGGGAGTTGAAGGGATGGAAGAGATATAAAAAAGGGTGATGGGTGAGTAAGCAGAATACATTATATATACATATGAAATTATAAACAAATAAGTTCAGATAATAAAAATACTTCAAACGGGAGGTGGTAGCACATGCCTTTAATCCCAGCACTCAGGAGGCAGTGGCAGGCAGATCTCTGTGAGTTCAAGGCCAGCCTGGCCTACAAGAGCTAGTTCCAGGACAGCCTTCAAAGCCACAGGGAAACCAACTCGAAAAACAAAAAAACAAAAATAAATATATAAATAAATAATACTTCAAAACAGAAAGATAATGTCCTAGAATTGAGTAATGGTGATAGTTGCCCATACTTATGACTCTACCAAAAAAAAAAAATTGTAGTATTATTTCTCTGTCTCTCTTGAATTTAAATTTCATACTGTAGATCAGGCTGATCTGGAATTTATTATGTAGCTTAGGCTAGCCTTCAACCTCTCACAATCCTTGGCTAAAGCCTTAACCTCTTAACTAAATATTAGAATTTACAGATAAGAGCTACCAGACCTGGCTCAAGAATTTTATTTTCTTATAGCAAAAGATATATTTTATATCTTTGCACTGGGCAGTGGAGGTGTACACTTTTAATCCCAACACTCAGGAGGCAGAAGCAGGCAGATCTCTGAGTTTGAGGCCAGCCTTGTCTACAAAGGGAGTTCCAAGACAGCTAGAGCTACAGAGAAACCCTGTCTCAAAACAAAACAGGATTTTCAAGGCAGGGGTATCATATGCCTTATGCCTTTAATCTCAGGACTCAGGAGGCAGAGGCAGGTGTATCTCTGAGTTTGAGGCCAGCCTGGTCTACAGAGCAAGTTCCAGGACACCCAGGGCTACACAGAGAACCCTTGTCTCAAAAAACAAAAATAAAAAATAAGAGTATAAGGGCCATTTATGGTCATTTCTATCACAAAGCAAAGCCTGATTGTATATAACAAGTTTTTCATTTTTCCTCAACAGAACTGAATTGTATGAGGCAGAAGAATCATGAATTCAAGGCCAACTTGAGCTCCATAGCCAAACCTTGTTGCAAATAAACAAGAATTGAAGTATACTTTGTCACAGAAGGTATTATCTGTATATATTTGAGACACAGAAACAAGTGGATGTGTATTCTCAAGAAGTGTATTCTAAAGGCAAGAGGATTCTACAAAGTAGTATATTACAGCAGGGAAGACCCCTGCTTTAACTCAGACCTACACCCTTTCTTCTTCTGGAACACCAGGACTGCCTGGGACAGTCTCTTTCCTGTTTCTCCTGTCACACGGCCAGCCATTATAGGGCATTTAGTTGAATGTGGCAAAATGATTGGTTGTTTCACAGTCCAACAATACCTTGGGAAACTGGATGTCCTATGCAGGATCTCTTTATTTAAGGTGAGATGTACTTCCTCCTGCCTGCCACCACCTCAGTGTACAATGCTAAGACTGGTCTCCTAACACTCTAGCTTGAAAAGACTACTGGCCAAAGAAGGATGAGAACACTGGGATAGCATGTAGGCTCTATCCAAACCAACTACGCAATGATTATTCAACAAAACAAAACAAAAACAAAAAACACAAAAGAAAGAAAAGAAAAGAAAGAAAGGCCAGGAATGATAGTGCATGCCTATAATTACAGCAAAAGAAGGGAGTGCAGTAAGTTCAAGGCCAGCCTGGTTTACACAGCAGTTCTAGGCCAGCCAGCACTACACAGAAAGACACTATCTCAAAAATAATAAAATAAAATAAAATAAAATAAAAATGACGGGGAGGCCGGGCATTGGTGGTGCATCCCTTTAATCCCAGCACTCGGGAGGCAGAGGCAGGTGGATCTCTGTGAGTTCAAGGCCAACCTGGTCTCCAGAGCGTGTGCCAGGATAGGCTCTAAAAGCTACACAGAGAAACCCTGTCTCAGAAAAAAAAAAAAAGAAAGAAAAGAAAAGAAAAAAGAACAGGACCAGGCCTCTTGTCGTTCATCCAAATATCCAGGCTTTCGCCCAATACTCAGACTTAGTTGTGGTGCAGGCAGCCACAAGTACCACTACACCCAACTTCATCAGTGCTTCTGGTCAGTCTGCAGAACTATAAATCAGTTCTGCTCCCATCCATTCTCTCAACAAATAAACCAGCAATTCCTATTCATTAGCCTTGCCTGTTCTCTTTTTATAGCATCACTTATTTTGGTGGGTTTTGACTGCATGTAGAAGGTGCAAAACTTTGGACCACTCACTTGATTAGCATAGCGTTTTGGTAGCTTCTTGCCAGGGTCAATGTCCATTTCCTCCTCTTCTTTCTTATCTTCCTCCCCACTCTCCATCCCTGTCCAGTCATCTTCAGCTAGTCTTCTGGCATGGTTCACATAATCCAATCGCTTTCTGGAGGAGGAAAAGAGAAGGTCAGGTCTACACATACTATACAAAGATGTCTCATAATATACAGATGTCATTCAATTCAAGGATGACAAATTTGGAAGCAACTATGGGATTCTGGTGGGGGGTAAGAAATCATGCAATTTCTTTTGCAAGGTTAAACTTGTCTCCTCATAGATCACAACCAGGGAACTTCTTCTGAACACATTCGGCCTTCCTCGGTTTCTTTTTCTTTCTTCCTTTCTTTTTTCCTTCTTTCTTTTTTATAAAGATTTTATTTATTTACTATGTATACAACATTCTGCTTCCATGTATATCTGCACACCAGAAGAGGGCACCAGATCTCATTACAGATGGTTGTGAGCCACCATGTGGTTGCTGGGAATTGAACTCAGGACCCCTGGAAGAGCAGTTGGTGCTCTTAACCTGAGCCATCTCTCCAGCCCCCTTCCTTGGTTTCTTAAGAATGTTCAAAGTAGGGGCTGGAGAGATGGGAGAGTGACTGCTGTTCCAGAGAACCCAGGTTCAATTCCCAGTGCCTACGTGGCAGCTCACAGCTGTCTATAACTCCATCTGACACCCTCACATAGACATACATACAGATGGAGTACCAGTACACATAAAAAATAAGAAATTATTAAAAAAATGTTCAAAGTAAAATATGTATTCTTAAAGGAATTTCTAAGACTCACTAGCTGAATGAACTGAACTCACATTGCCCTACTGCACTCCAGATGAAATAACATTTCCTGCCTAGCAGACTCATCAAAAGCCCAGAGATGGGAAGGGGGAAACTCTAAATGCAGTGAGAGATCCAAAACAAGAATATCTTCTGGGGCTTTCCACTTCAAACAGCATGCTGATCAAACAAATAACACCCCAAAACTCAGGCTTTTCTTGACTTTCAAAAGAAGCCACTTAGCTTAAAACTTGACATCTTTGCTGGTATAGTGGTACACATCTTTGATCCCAGAACTCTGGAGACAGAGGCAGGGGGATCTCTGTGGGGTCAAGGGCAACCTGGTCTATATAGTGAGTTCTGGGATAACCACAAAATGAGACATTGTCTCAAAAAAAAAAAAATGCTAAGTGCTAGGATTAGAGGCATGCATCATTGCACCCAGGCTTTTGTTTTGTCTCAAGTAGCCTAAGATGACCTCAAATTCCCTATTAGCCCAGGATGACACTTTCTGTGTGTATGTGCATAGCTGCCTGTGAAGGTCAGAGACGACATCAGATCCTCTAGATCAGCAGTTCTCAACTTGTGGGTCTCACCCCTTTGGGGAGGTTGAATGACCCATTCACCAGAGTCACCTAAGACCACTAGAAAACACAGATATTTACATTATCATTTATAACAGTAGCAAAAATTACAAATATGAAGTAGCAATGAAAATAATTTTATGATTGGGGTCACACAAAATAAGGAACTGTGTTAAAGGGTCACAGTATTAGGGTTGAGAATCACTGCTCTAGATGCTGGAGTCAGAGGTGATTGATTGTGAGCCACCTGACCTTGGTCCTGGGAACTGAACTGGGGTCCTCAGCAAGTACTCTCAACCACTAAGCCATCTCTCTGGCCCTAACACTTAATGTCTAATACTCATACCTCTCTCTACCTTCTCTTTAATACTGGGTTATAGCTGTGCATCACCATGCCCAGATTTATTTATTTATTAAAAACAGCATATTCTAATAAATTGGAAGTAAAGGGAGAAACTTTTCAAACCTAATTGTTACATATTAATTAGGAATATCATGTATCTTTTTGGGGGTGGGGTGGGGGTTGAGACAAGGTTTCTCTGTGACTTTGGAGGCTGTCCTGGAACTAGCTCTTGTAGACCAGGCTGATCTCGAACTCAGAGATTGACTTGCCTCTGCCTCCCAAGTACTGGGATTAAAGGCATGTGCCGCCATCGCCTCGCTTGGAATATCTTGTATCTTAAAATTTCCACAAAGCTAAGGCAAGAAATCAGACACTCACACCTACATGGTTTCTCCATCATTTTTTTTTAAAGCACATGTGTATATACACACACACACACACACACACACACACACACACACACACACACACACACACGTGTGAGCATAGATATGGCACAGCATGTGTGTGGAAGAAGATAACTTGCAGTAGTAGGTTCTCTCCTTCCTCCATATGGGTACCAGAGATTGAAATCAGGTCCTCAAGCTTGGCAGTAAGCACCTATAAAGCAATCTTGCCAGCTCACTTGGTTTCTTCTTTTTCTTTATTATTTGATTTTTTAATTAGGACAGGGTCTTTTTTTAAAAATCATTTTTTAGATTTTTATTTATTTACTTATTTATTTATTATGTATACAGCATCTGCCTGTATGCCTGCAGGCCAGAAGAGGTTGCCAGATCTCATTACAAATGCTTGTGAGACACCATGTGTTGCTGGGAATTGAACTCAGGTCTTCTGGAAGAACAGCCAATGCTCTTAACCTCTGAGCCATCTCTCCAGCCCTAGGACAGGGTCTTAATATGTACTAGCCTGTAGCTTACTATATAGACCAATCTCACAGAGATCTAACTGCCTTTGTCTCCTAACTACTATTAAAGGTGTCCACTACTATGCCCATCTCTAGTTTTTTTCTTAAATGCACATGCTCATAACATGCCCACAAAGTTGCATACTAGCGAGAACATATGAACTAGCTTTCTATTTAAAGAATGGAAGAATGAATACATACATACATATATATGTGTGTGTGTGTATGCAGAATGATATATGCTGTAGTTACTATCCATCAGTGTTTGTCATCGTATAAAATGGAAACTACCCAGGTGCCCAGCAGCAGGGGACTACTTAGGCTACATTATGAACCATCCATTTAATGAACTACCCAGCACCCTAAAAAAGAAATGATGTATCTGGGAACATAGTTCAGCTAGCTAGTAGAGTGCTTGCCTAGCATACAAGAGGCTCTATGTTTGATCTCCAGCTCTACATTAAATAGGCATGGCAGAGCACACTTGTAATCACAGTATGAAAGGCACATAGTAATTTTAAAGCCAGCCTAGGCTTACATAAGATCATCTCTCTTTAAAAAAAAAAAATTTGTGGGGGCTGGAGAGATGGATCAGTGGTTAAGGGCACTCACTGCTCTTCCAAAGGACCTGGGTTCAATTCCCAGCACTCACATGGAAGCTCACAACAGTCCCTAACTCCAAGATCTGACAGCCTCACACAGACAGACGCAGGCAAACACCAATGCACATTAAAAAAAATTGTGTATGTGCACACATGTGTGAAAATTCGTGAAAGTGAGTGTGTGTAGATCAAAGGCTAACATCAGGAGTCTATCTCTTTTTTTGTTTGTTTGTTTTGTTTTGTTTTTCAATACAGGATTTCTCTGTGTAACAGCTCTGACTGGCCTGAAACTATTTGTAGGACAGGACCACCTCAGAGATCCACCTGCCTCTACCTCCTGAGTGCTAGGATTAAAGATATGTGCCACTACCACCTGGCTCTGAATTGCTTTTTTAAAAGCTCAGAAGCCCGGCACAGTGTCATAAGCCTATAATACTGATACTCAGGAAGCTTAGGTAAAAGGACCACAAGTTTAAGACCAGCCTGAGCTACATAATGAGACCCTGTGTCAAACAAAGATCAAGTGTAGGACAATGACTTTAGCTTAGTTGGCAGAGTACTTGACTGGCATGCATGGAGACCCAGGCTCAATTTCTAGCACTGCAAAACATAGGATTTCTTTTTTGTTTTATTTTTGGAGATAAGTTTCTCTGGAACTTTGGAGCTTGTCCTGGAACTCGCTCTGTAAAACTCACAGAGATCTGCCTGTCTCTGTCTCCTGAGTAATTAAAGGTGTGTGCCACTATTGCCCAGCAAGATAGGGTTTCCATTGCTGTGACTAGACACCATGACCACAGCAACTCTTGTAAAGGAAAACATTTAATTAGGTGGCTTAAAGTTTAGTGGTTTAGTCCATTATCATCAGGGCAGGACATGAGGGAATACAGCCTGACATGGTGCTGGAGAGGTAGCTAAGAGTCCTACATCTTATGCAGGCAACATAAAGTGGTCTGTCTTACTGAACATGGCTTGAGTATATGAGACCTCAAAACACCCTTATGTACAGAAATCGTACTTAACACAAATGCTACGCAAGTGACACAGCTGTGGCTAGCTTCTTCTCATTCTCAATTCCTTAGTTTCTGACTCCAAAGAGACCAAAGATGCACTAAGAACAAAAGGTGAGACCTTGACTTCAGAGAGGGCAGCCTGAAACACACCTATCTTGATCTTTTCGTGTTTGTTCATTTTGGCATTGGGAATTAAGTGTAAGGAAAACATTTCCACTGATTCTCTGTGGAATTAACTTGAATTCCCAAGGGCACTACAGAAACATTTGGGCTGAAGGCAGATGTGAAAACCATACCAAGACCATCATTATAGTGAGTGGGAAGCCACACAAAAGCAATCCAGGAAAGGGAGGGAAGGGAAGTCTGAATTGCAAAGTTCAGTAGTATTGCCAGGAAAAATAGAAATATTTAACCAAATAACTGAGCTTTTGCTTCAAAAGTTCAGTTTTTCCTTCCTCTTTATTTTCCTAAAATGTATGGATAACCTTCTGTGAAGGGAGTTCTATGGAGACAAGTCTAGTTGCCTATGAATGACCTGTAGCTCCTAGCATAAAGAAGCCAAGGAGTTAAAGCACCCTTACGATTTCTGTAGTTCCAGCAACTGTCGGCGCCGCTCACTCTGCTCCAAGGAACAGTACTTGGACTTGTATTGGGATAGGCGAGGGTGTGGGGCAGCTGTGCTGTTCAGTTCTTGAGACACAGAAAAGCTACCAGCTAGGGCTTGACTCAATTCTTCCATCTTCCCTGTAAAGAAAAACATAAAGAAAATGGTCCATGAATTTACTTCATCTCACGATAAGGCAGTTATGAAGTAATTTAAAAGAAAAAACTCACTTAAGCAAAATTAGGTATTTCTGTGGAGGGAGTTCTATATTAGTTATATATAAAGATAAATGAATTATATGCTAGTAATAATAATGTTATTTTCTTCCAGTAGTTCAATAATGATAAGTTTAATAGCCAAGGGAATACACCTAAACACCAATCATTATAAAGTCACTCTTTGATTGGTTTTGTTTTTCATCACAACGAGCCACTCCTGACATCCAGTCATGTGACTGAGTTTCTTAACTTTTTTCCTAAATAGTTCTAAAGAGCCATCACTCAATAACAAATATAACTCTGATGACATTTTTCCTGTTTTATTTTTCACCATGTAACCTGGCTAACTTTAAAGTCACTTTGACCCCTTGTTCCCACCTCTGCTGCCAGGTGCTGGGATTAAAGGCATAGTCTAAAAGATAAAAATAAAGAAAAAAGAAAAGAAATTACCTGGGAGCTAGGTATGGTAGCTCACTCCTAAATCCCAATGCTTGGGAAGCATAAACAGGGACTCAGGGACATCCTCAGCCACAGAGGAAATTTAAGTCCAGTCTCTACTATATGAGACCCTGCTTCAGAAAACAAAAACAGGGCCAAGCATGGTGACACACGCCTTTTTAATCCCAGCATTCAAAAGGCAGAGGCAAGTGGATCTCTGAGTTTGAAACCAGTCTGGTTTGTAGAGCAAGTTCTGGGACAGCCAGAACAAACAAAAAAGAACTAAAAAAAAAAATTAACCGCTAGACCCAAAAAGACAAGCCTCTCCCAATCAATCTATGAGTTGATCAAATGGATATTACTCAAAAGAAGAAACACAAATGGTCAATTAGTATTTTTTCAAATGTTCAACAGGGGCCAGTGAGACAGCATTTGCTGCCGAGCCTGAGGACCTGAGGACCTGAGTCTGATCCCTAGGATCCACATAGTGAAAGGAAAGAACCAATTCCCAAATGTCCTTCCATACACATACTGTGGCATGCACTCAGACACACAATAAATACATAAGTCTAGCCGGGCGTTACTGTTGCATGCCTTTAATCCCAGCACTCGGGAGGCAGAGGCAGGCGGATCTCTGGGAGTTTGAGGCCAGCCTGGTCTCAGGAGCGAGTGCCAGGATAGGCTCCAAAGCTAAACAGAGGAATCCTGTCTCAAAAAAACAAAAATAAATAAATAAATAAATAAATAAATAAATAAATAAATGTAATTAAAAAAAATGTTCAACATCCTTAGTCATCAGGGAAATGCAAATTAAAACCAATTTGAGAGGCTGGAAACATGACTCAGTAGTTAAGAGCACTTGCTCTTGCAGAGGACCCAGGTTCAATGGTACACATTCATACATGCAGGCAACGCTCATACAAATTAAACAAAGAAGCCGGGCGTTGGAGGTGCACACCTTTAATCCCAGGACTCGGGAGGCAGAGGCAGGTGGAACTCTGTGAGTTAGAGGCCAGCCTGGTCTCCAGAGCGAGTACCAGGATAGGCTCCAAAGCTACACAGAGAAACCCTGTCTCGAAAAACCAAAAAAAAACAGAAAAGAAAAGAAAAGAAAAGAAAAGAAAAGAAAAGGGTGGCACATGACTTTAATCTCAGCACTGGGAATGGCGGCAGAGGCAGGCAGATCTCTTTGAGTTCCACGCTACCCTGATCTACCAAGTAAGTTCCAGGACAGCCAGGGCTACACAGGGAAATCCTGTCTGGGGATTGGGAGTGGGGGGACAGGAAGGAAGCAAGCTGAGTAAAACATGAAGAGGAAGCCAGTAAGGAAACTCCTCCATGGCCTCTGCATCAGTTTCTGCCTCCAGGTTCCTGCCCTGCTTGAGTTCTTGGCCTAACTTCCTCAGTGATAGACTGTTACCTGGAATTGTAAACTCTTTCCTCCTTAAATTGCTTTTGGTCGTGTTTTATCATAGAAATAAAAAGATAAGACACCACTTCTGGGTACATACCCAAAGGACTCTATGCCCTAGCACAGAGAAACATTCGCATCCATGTTTATTGCTGCATTGGTCACAATAGCAAGGAAATGAACGTAGTTTGGATAGTCAACAGAAGAGATAATGAAAATATGTCACACAACAACCAGGTGTGGCACATCCTTATTTATTTATTTATTTTGTTTTTTTTTTCCGGGCCAGGGTTTCTCTGTGTCTTTGGAGGCTGTCCTGGAACTAGCTCTTGTAGACCAGCTGGTCTTGAATTTACAGAGATCCGCCTGCCCCTGC